CTGTTTGTTATTTATGGCTCTGGTGCAGCTTTGTGCAGAGTCTTTATCCAAAAACAATATAAACGCCACTCCTTTACTCTTCCTCGTGTCTTTGTCTTTCATTATAGTAACCCTGAAAGTATAAGAAGAGTGAATTAAAAATAAGAAAGCAACAAATAAAACATTAATAGTTAGAAAGCAGAAGCTTTTTCTTTTCATCTTTTTAAAAAGGATTAAGGAGGACCAGCCAGATAGCTCAGTGGACTAAAGCACCTGCTTAGGCAGGTGCAGGGACCCAGGTTCAATCCCCAGCACACTATGTTGGCCCCACCCCTGAGGCATGGTGGTGCATGCCTGCAATCCCGGCACTTGAAAGGCTGAAAACAGGAGGATCACTATGAGTCTAATATGTGTAATGAGAGCCTGTAAATCCTAAATTACATTTTAAAAAATAAAATAAATAAATAAGAAGGATTAAGGGCCAGGGAGATAGCTCAGTGGCATAGTGTGTGCCTGGCAAATGCAATGGCCTGAGTTCAATCCCCAGTACTAAATAAATAAATAAATAAAATTAAAAGGATTAAATAAAAGATTGAGGCTGTGGATATAGCTCAGCACGCACTGCACCTGCCTGGCAAGTGCAATATTCTGAGTTCAATTACTGGTACCAAAAAAAATCAAATTAAATTTTTAAATAGTTTTCAAAAGAAAGAGAAACACATAAAATCTAGCTATTCCTTCAATGTGATGGGAAGTCAAGAATAATAGAAATAAGAAAGTGACAGTGCTTTTTCTTTTCTTTTTCATTTTTTGACATAGGGCTTTGCTAGTAGTAGTGATGGCTTTGACCTATGTAGGCTGGCCTCAAAATTGCAGGGATCCTCCTTTCTCAGCCTCTCAAAGTGCTACGATTACAGATACTGCTTTAATACAAGTGAGCCCAAGAATTAATGCATTCAGAGACAATCAGAATTAGAAGGGTTAGGGCCAGGAAGATGGCTCAGTGGAATAAGCACTTCCCTGGCAAGCGCAAGGGCCTGAATTCAATCCCCGGTTCCGCAAAAAAAAAAAAAAGAATTAGAAGGGTTGAGAGACTACAAGCAGTAGACTCTTAAAGATAAAACACAACAGGCTGGGGATATAGATCAGTGGCACTAGTGTCTGCCTGGCAAGCGCAAGGTTCCGAGTTCAATTCCCAGTACCCAACTCTTTCCTAATTTCAACTTGAAAGAGCAGGAAAAAAACCCTGAAACCAAAATCAAAACAAGGGAAGGCCAAATAGCTCAGCAGGTGCTGGGAGCAGGATTCAATCCCTGGGTCTAATGTGCCAGCCCCACGATGAGAGAGCAATTGAGACTGGGCATGGTGACGCATGCCTATAATCCCAGCATTTGGGAGGCTGTAGACAGGAGAATCACTACAAGTCTGATCTAGTAGAAAGACCCTGAACACCCTGTCGACCCTTCCCTAAAATACATTAAAAAAAAAACCCTTGAGGTATTCTATTCTACAAAAAACTAACATGATTTACTTAAATTACTCATCTAAGGTTTCAGAATGTAACTAAATTTGGAGGAGGATATCAAGGATGCACCCCAGCAAACTGCTAAACTACAACCCCACCCCTTCTTGAGAGAGGATCCTGTGAAAAGGGTCGGGATATGCAGAAGCTCAGTCGTTGTGCTCAGCCTTCTTGCACGCCGGGATCACAGTGCACCAATATCCGTAGCTCTCCAGTCTTAGAACTCTTCTGAAGTAGTTACCCCCAGTTTAGTGGTTCTCAAGCCAGCTCCTGGTTATGTAAGTGACAGGCATGATGATAAAAGCCATACACCACGCTCTCCCTTCGGCCTCGCAGCTTGCCTAGTGCTAGAGGTGCATATGCCATTTAGTGTGGTGCAGGAACAGTGCTCGACACTGTTCTTTACAGTAAAGGTGGATGCCAGGGCTGCATCAAGACACGTACAAGACAAGCTTGTTGCCTCTTGCATATTTGTGTTATAAACAAAGTACAACAACAATGAAACAAAAAGATGGAGCATGGTATAAAGCACAGATGTCAGCAGGAAAGAGCTACCACTGGTCATGTCCTGAACCATTCATTTCCAAAAACAAAAAGTGCAGTACTAAATTAAAAACAGAAAAGGTTTAGAATTCTCTACAAGCCACCAATGAATAAGCGGGGGAGAAAGGAGGGCTCTTGCTTACAGCAAAATGTCAATGGGTGACTGGTGAATGAACGGGGAATGCTGGTAACAGAAAATCACCTTGTTAGTTCGTTTGTTTGAGACAGAGTCTACGTAGTTCAGACTGGCCCTGAATTCACTATGCAGCCCCAGGGATCTTCCTGCCTCAGCCTGGAATCAGGGCTGGGATCACAGACATGTGCTACCAACCTCACCAGAAAATCACCAGTTTACAACATCCTGGTAGAACTTGAATCAGGAAAGAACCAATAACTTTCTTAGTCTAAAATAAAATGTATACATGAGCAAGATATTAACTCCTTAAGAGTGCTGGGTGCAAGCTAACCATATGCCATTTAGTATGGTTTAAGAACAATGCAACAGAGTTCTTTGCAATAACAGCTGGATAATACAGGGACAGGTAAGAGGTGCATTTACTTTTTATTTCCATGTCACAATGTTTACTAAACAGCTCAACAACACAATTGAGATCCCAGCACTAGAAACCTCCCAACCATAAAAAGCCCAGGATGACACAGGTTCACTGGTTAGGAACACCATGCCTCCTCAAACTATTCCAGGACACAGAAAAGAAAGGAACTCTCCAGACGCATTGTGAGAGGCCAGTAACAAACACACAGATTCCAAAACTGAAGGACACAACAAAACAGGGTGCACCAACATCCTTTATGAGGACAAATGCAATAATTCTTTTCAACAGTACATTTAAAAGATTCTATACCATGATCTTTTGTCTCACTACAGGGATAGAAGTATGTTCAACAAGCAAATCAATAAGCATAACACACCATGTAAATACGTTCAACATCCCTTCAAGACGGAGTCCTAAAAAAGCTAGGTATTGAAGGTATGGTGAAGAATATATGTGACAATGCCACAGCCAATATTACTCTGAATGGGCAAAACTAAAAGCACATCCTCCAAAATTAGCATGAGGCAAGGACATTAAAGCTCAATACTCCTATTCAGTATAGTACTTAAAATATTAGCAAAAGCATTTAGGCAAGAGAAAGAAACAAAAGGGATACAAACAGGAGGAAAAATTTAAACTATCCTTAATTGCAGTTGATATAACCGTAGACCTAGAAATATAGACTCTTTTGAAAAAAATTTGGTTGGGCATGAGAAGTTGCTGCCGGCCTGGCCCAGTCCCTTGTTTTCTGGCACTGTGCCACACTATTTGCTATGACACTTAGCAAATCTGTCTTACAATAAAACCAGGAAGAACAGCTGGTTAGAACAACTGTCACTTTAGCTAAAATGGTACAACTAACAATAACAATAGCATCAAACACAAAAACAGACAAGGAGACCAAAGAGTAGAGCACCCAGAAACAAATACACTTGTAAGGGCTGATAAACTGTGTTAATTTGAGAAGTTAAGAAGTTTAATTAAGCAACTCAGCAAGGGCCCAGAATCCTTATTTTGTAAACAGCCTCACCCAAGGGCTGGCCAAATAGCAAAGCAGCCAATTAGCAAGCAGGCGCAGGGGCTGGGGGTTCAACTGGGTGTGGAGGTGCGCACCTGTAATCCTAGCTTTTGGGAGGCTGTAAACAGGCGGATCACTACAAGTCTGATCTAGAAGTGAGACCCTGAACACCCTGTAGACCATTCCCTAAAATACAAAAAAGAAAAAAGAAAAAGAAACTCATCCTGTACAAGAGGAAGGCATGGAGATGGAGTGAGTGCTACATCTGCCATAGGGGTGTTGGCTGGCTGACAACAGAAGGAAAGGAAAGAGGCTTGCTCTTCCCTCTTCTGCCCTTGTTTTTGCTGTCTTCTGCCACCTTGGACTGTTGCCCTTGTGCCATGCCACCCTGGCTGGAGCCAGCTGATTATGGACTGAAACCTTCACAGACTGTAACCTAAATAAACCTTTCCTTCTTTAATTTTGAGCATGGGGTATTTTGTCCCAGCAATGAGAGAAGTAATCAAGACAGCTTCTAATTACAACCATTTGACTCTGGACTAGAAAAAAAAAAAAGAAGGGGCCAGGGATATAGCTTAGCGGCATAAGTGTGCTTGGGAGACTGAAAACAGGAGAATCACTATGAGTCCGATCTACGTAGTGAGACCCTGTACTAAATACATAAAAAAAAAAAGAAAGAAAGAAAAAGAAATTCAGAGCCTCCAAGTCAAAGGATGAAGAACAGTACTCCACACAAGAACCCAGAAAAAAAACAAGGGTAGTTGTTTTAGTTATGGATAAAGTAAATTTCAAGCCAAGATTGCTTTAAAAAAACAAAATCACTACACTTTGTAAAAGGAAGAATCCAAGAGGAAGAAACAACAATCATAAGTGTAGGGGCTGGTGAGATGGCTCAGTGGTCTAAAGCACCTACTTTGAACAAGCTTAGCAAAGCACAGGGACCGCGGTTCAATCCCCCAGCACCACATGCCAGCCAGCCCGCCCCCTGGTGGGCTGAGCTGGCCACACACGCACAAATAAATAAATTAAAAAAAAAAACAATCATAAGTGTATATGCAACAGTACACCCAATTATACAAATGTTGATGTACATGAAAAATCAAATAAGAAAAAAAATCAAATAAGCAATGTCACAAATAGATTGAGACAAAAAAAAAACCCCACAACAATGAAATACTAGAACTGAACCAAATGTTTGAACAAATAGGCTTAATATGTGTCTACAGTGTTCTACCTTGCAATATCAGAATACACACTCTTTTCAAGCATACATGGGACATTCTCCAAAATAGACCACATACTGGCTCACAGAATATGCTTAAGTAAGTGCAAAGGAACTGAAATTATCTCATACATGAGACTATAATGCAATGAAATTGGAAATTTTGCAAAGGAAACCATGAAAACTTCACAAGGAAATTGGCAAAGGAAACCACAAGAACTTGATAAACACATGGAAACTAAATAATACTCTCCTAAACAAGGGCCACAGATGA